AAGGAGGACGAGGCGACGAGGAAGAAGAAGAAGAAGAAGAAGAAGAAAAAGAAGAAGAAGAAGAAGAAGAAGAAGATGAAGAAGAAGAAGAAGAAGAAGAAGAAGAAGAAGAAGAAGAAGAAGAAGAAGAAGAAGAAGGGTTGGAGGAGGAGGAGGAGGAGGAGGACGAGGCGACGAAGAAGAAGAGTAGAAGAGTAGAAGAAGAAGAAGAAAAAAAAAAAGACGACGAAGAAGAAGAAGAAGAAGAACAACAACAACAACAACAACAATAGAAGAAGACGACGAGGATGACGAGGAGGAGGAGGACGACGAGAGACGATGGCGGGAGAGGAGGAGGGCTGATGACGCGGAGGCCTACCTGGAGATGGTGTTGACGATGGCGGCGTTGGGGTGCCGCGTCCGCGCGAGCGCACACACGCGCTCGTCGACACGATGGTCGCAGTGTACAACGACTGGGAGGGGGGGGCAGCACGGGGGCGGCGGCGGGCGTGGGCGGGCGGTTCCTACCCAAATTCGAATTCGAATTCAGGCCCGATCTGGGTCGTCGATCGGATGAATCGGACGGCCCACATCGGGCCTTTTCCGTTTCGATTTTTTTTGGCCCTGCTGGCCTCGACCTGCGGGGACTGAGGTCCAGAAGGGCCTCTTAACACACCGCGAGGCCTGAGACCCCTCACATGCCCCTTCCAGGCATGGCCCCTATTTTCCGTTGGGGCCGGACATTTGTCGGATATCGGACCACCGGGCCGGTGGTCCAGTCGGACAACCCGGACCGTTGGGGGGTCCCGGACGTCCGTAGAGGTAACCTAGCTTCAAAACAACATATGTTATTTTGTAATTCTTATGCTCCAGTAATAAGAATCGTTTTGTCAATAATCACATGTTTACGTTAGGGATACATGTGAGAAAACACTGAATAATATCACAGTTGTGAGTTATTCTAAACATTGTCACGATTCCGTGACAAACAAATTTGTCTTCGGCGCCCTCCTACGGATGTTGGCTGCTACGAATGAACTTCAAAACAACATATGTTATTTTGTAATCCTAATGCTCTAGTATAAGAATCATTTTTACAATAATAAAATATTTACATTGGGGATATATGTGAAAAACACTGAATTATATCATAGTTGTGAGTTATTATGAACTTTGTCACGAGTCGGTGGCAAAAAAATCTGTATTCGGCGTCCTTCTACGAATCTTGGCTGCTAACAATGGACTTCAAAACAACATATGTTATTTTGTAATTCTTATGCTCTAATAATAAGAATTGTTTTGACAATAATCACATGTACATGTGAAAAAACACTTAATAATATCGCAATTGTGAGTTATTCTTAACATTGTCAAGATTCCGTGGCAGACAAATCTTTATTCGGCGTCCTCCTACGGATGTTGGCTGCTAACAATGAACTTCAAAACATCATATGTTATTTTGCAATCCTTATGCTCTAGTAATAAGAATCGTTTTAACAATAATCACATGTTTACATTGGGGATACATGTGAAAAACACTGAATACTATCATAGTTGTGAGTTCTTCTGAACAGTGTCACGAGTCGGTGGCAAACAGATTTGTATTCGGCGTCCTCGTGTGAATGTTGACCGCTAACAATGGACTTCAAAAAAACATACGTTATTTTGTAATCCTTATGCATTAGTAATAAGAATCATTTTGACAATAATCACATGTTTACGTTGGGGATACGTGTGAAAAAACACTGAATAATATCACAGTTGTGGGTTATTCTAAACATTGGCAGGAGTCGGTGGTAAACAATTGTGTATACAACGTCCTCCTACGAATGTTGGCAGCTAGCAATGGACTTCAAAACAATAAATATTATGTTGTAATCCTTATGCTCTAGTAATTACAATCATTTTGACAGTAATCACATGTTTACGTTGGGGATACATGTGAAAAAACACTGAATAATATCA